CAACGTCAAACAAAGGACTTTCCACATCACCTGAGATGGTGTTCACCTGAGTAGTTTCTTGATCCAATTCATCGATATCCATTCTTAAAGTGTTACAAAATCCAACAAAAGGTCACTAAATATACATCCTTTTCGTAAGAATACACACTGGTTAATACATTACATTCACTTTATATTCATTTATTTGATTACGTTGCAGTATTTCTGGGGTTTTGAAACTTTAGGCGGAGCGCTGATGAAAACGACTTTCTCCAGTCGCCATCTTGATCACTTCAAAAAATCTTGTGGACGCTCAAGAGGTCAAAGTTAATATCCAATTGACGTTAAATTTATACACAGTGTTTATGGTCATGAGACGAAGAAGCCTATTGATTTTCAGCGATTTCCAATAAGTACTGCCAGAGTTATGGCCCTTGATCACTTTGAAAAATCTTTTGGACACTCTAAAGGCTAAAGTTAATATCCGATTGACTTTAAATTTATACACAGTGTTTAGGGTCATGAGATGAAGTCTATTCATTTTCAGTGATTTTCGATATTTACTGCCAGAGTTATGGCCCTTGATCACTTTGAAAAATCTTGTGGACGCTCTAGAGGCCAAAGTCAATATCCGGTTGACTTTAAATTTATACACAGTGTTTAAGGTCATGAGACAAAGAAGTCTATTCATTTTCAGTGATTTTCGATAATTACTGTCACAGTTATGGCCCTTGATCACTTTGAAAAATCTTGTGACGCTCTAGAGGCTAAAATTATCATCCGATTGACTTCAGATTGATACACAGAGTTTAAGAGCTTGAGACGAACAAGTATATTGATTTTCAATGAATTTTTTATGACTTGAACAGCTAAATCTATGATATTAAAAACCAAACAAATTCTAATGGTTTTCTGATAATTACTTCATGAGTGTATTATAAATGTTTCATTACCGAAAGAAGTAAAAATATGCGACAACACTTGTTGACTGCCCGGACGATTTAGCTGCTGTGGGCGTATGTTTCGTTGCCTGGCAACCTATCTTTACATGTAGCTTGTGGATTCTCTAGAGGTCACAATTTTTTTCTCGATAAAATTGTTCAGATCACTATTCCACCATAATGAAGGTTGAATTGGAATTTTGAGAAAATCAAAATGAAACTGCTGACAAAATGGCCTCTTTGTATGCAAATTGTATATAAGTATGTAATTCAAAGGTTATGGACCCTCTAGAGGTTACAATTTTTATCCAATTTTGATGAAACTTAAAACATATCTTTATATTCCAAAAATCTCAGTTGCGCATTTCAGACCATAACTTTCTGGATTATGATCTTTTGGTTATAAACATACATTTTAAGTTTCATCAAAATCGGATCAAAATTGTGACCTCTAGAGTGTCCACAAGCTAAAAATGCAATTTTTCGTACAATCAGGGTCCATAATTCATAAAGTTTTAATCCAATATGCACAAATATCGAAAGCAACCAAGATCTTTGGGTTATAAACTTGCATTTCAAGTTCCATCAAAATCAGCACAAAATTGTGACCTCCAGAGGGTCCAAAACCTTGATATATCAGATGTTTACACTATTTGCGTACAACGGGCGGCCATTTTGTATGGCAGTTTTGGTCCGATTTTCACGAAATTCGAACTCAACCTTCATTACGGTGATATAATCAAACGTTTTTTGAAATCAGATAATAATCGTGACCTTCAGAGGGACCACAAGCGAAAAGATAGGTTGTCGCATATTTATTCTTTTGTAGGTAATTAGGGGAATTTAATAGACATTTTCATACAGATGACATTATAATTTTTGTCGTTTGAGGGTTCACAAGGTTCTAAAAACTAAAACAAGGGCCGTACATGTAACTCTGTAAGTAATCTACTGAAATTGTTGAAATTGAACAGGCTTTTTCGTTTTACTAATTCAAATAATGCATAAATTTCATACAGAGGGATGATAACTTTTGTCGTTCGAACGTTCACAAGGTTCAACAAAGTAAAATAACTTAATAAGGGTCATAACTCTAGAGAGAGAGAGAGAGAGAGAGAAATGGAGTTTAACGTCCACTCGACACAAACCAGGTCATTTCGGGACTAACATATGGTTCAATTTTATTTCCATAATTCACTTGCGCGTAGGGGTCTTTAGCAGTGGGAGGAAACCGGAGGACCCGGAGAAAGCCCACGAAGTTGGACAGGCTACCCTACTCCTTGTCATGTACAACCGGGGATTCGAAACCACGCCAGTTGACTCAATGACAGACTTTATGATACAGCACGCACGTGCTAACCATTCAGCCACCCCCCCCCCCCATAACTCTAGAAGTAATTAATGGAAATTGCTGACATTCAATAGGCTTCTTCATTTCACTAATTTAAATGATGCATATGAATTTCATACAGATTAGGTGATAACTTTTGTCGTTCAAGCGTTCACAAGAGTCAACAAAGTTAAACAAGGGCCATAATTCTAGATGTAATTAACGGAAATTGCTGCAATTCAATAGGATTCTTTGTTTTATTAATTTAAATGAAAATGATGCATATAAATTTCATACAGATCGGTTGATAACTTTTGTTGTTAGAGCGTTCACAAGGTGCAACAAAGTGAAACAAGGGCCATAACTCCAGAAGAAATTAACGGAAGTTATTGAAATTAAATAGGCTTCTTCATCTCACTAATGCAAACAACATATATCAATTTCAAAACAATCAGATGATAAATGTAGTCTGTAGAGTGTTCACAAGAAATTGTGGACGACGGACAGATGGACGGACAGACAGATGGACGGACCAACAGGCGGACGGACGGGGGCGACGGCAATATACGACCACATTTCTATGTGGGTGTATAAAAAGGAGATTTTTCGTACAATCAGGGGCCATAATTCAGAAAGTTACGATCCGATATGCGCAAATATCGAAAGGAACCAAGATCTTTGGGTTATAAACATGCATTTCAAGTTTCGTCAAAATCGGATTAAAATTGTGACCTCTACAGGGTCCTTAACCTTGATATACCATATTTTTACACTATTCGCGTACAAGCGACGGCCATTTTGTCCGGCTTTGGTTCGATTTTCATGAAATTCGAACTCAACATTCATTACGACGTAACAATGATATAATCAAACGTTTTTTTTAAATCGAATAATAATTGTGACCTTCAGAAGGACCACAAGCTAAAAAGATAGGTTGCCAGGCAACGAAACACATGCCCACAGCAGCTATATCGTCCGGGCAGTCAACAAGAGTTGTCGCATATTTTTACTTTTTTCGGTAATGAAACATTTATAATACATTAAAATCTGATTAAGAGTAACAACTCATTAAGTAATTATCTGAAAACCATTAGAATTTGTTTGGTTTTTATAAAGTTCTGCCCCATGCTAAAGTTTAGTATATAAGAAACTTTTAATATCATGGATTTAGCTGATCAAGTCATAAAAATTCATTGAAAATCAATATACTTGTTCATCTCAAGACCTTAAACACTGTGTATAAAGTTAAAGTCAATCGGATATTAACTATAGAGTCTAAGGCGTCCACAAGATGTTTCAAAGTGATCAAGGGCCATAACTCTGGCAGTAATTATCGGAAATCGGTGGAAATCAAAAGGCTTTTTCGTCTCACGACCTTAAACACTGTATCAATTTAAAGTCAATCGGATATTGACTTTAGCCTCTAGAGCATCCACAAGATTTTTCAAAGTGATCAAGGGCCATAACTCTGGCAGTATATATCAGAAATCGGTGAAAATCAATAGGATTCTTGGTCTCATGGCCTTAAACACTGTGTATCAATTTAAAGTCAATCAGATATTTACTTTAGCCTCTAGAGCAGTCACAAGATTTTTCAAAGAGATCAAGAGCTTCTGTCAGCATGTGTAAAAGTAAAAAATCATAACGTTAAACAGTATTTAAAGTAGCTAAGTCTCTAACTAAATATCATCCAAAGTCTTACATGTTGACAACACGAATTATTTGTCAATTCAAATCAACATTGATGTTGTGATCTTACCGAGAAAAGGTAGGCTTCTGATATCTAATATTTAAGACAAAATAAACATTTTATTGGTACACGAATTGTGTACCATAGTGCTTGTAACAAATGACCAGAAAGAACGAACGTAGACATATTCCACAACTCATGTCAAACAGGGACGCCATATCTTATCTGGGGAGCATGCGCAATAGACTGGAATAACCCGATGCTAGAACTTGGCATTCGGTTCAGATTCATGCCGTATTTCGCTGGACATAGCAGATTTGAAATTAGAGTCAAAACAGAAACAACTGAATGTAAAATATATTATAAATGACTGTTTCTCGGAGTATTCGGGTGTTCTATCAGTGGATTTTATTCAGTGAAGATTTAAATTGAACTAACAACTGGTCTGTGAAACCATCAAATGTATGATCCAATTATTATATTTAATATCTACCTGGAATTCATATGGAGCGTCAAAGACTTGCGAATCCCGAGATTCACTATACAATCCATGACGAGATCCGCCTGACTTATTTTCACAATATGTTTCATTGAAGTGTTTCTTTATTTGAATACATTTACAAGATTGACTAGCGGTAAAATTTTGTTTTCATCAGACTGGTAAAATTACGAGTGGACCGGTATTTTTAACCTGAAGCTATCAGAAACACTGCTTTAGAGTGTCCACAAGATTTTTCAAAAAAGATAAAGGCCCATAACTCTGGCAGTAATTATCAGAAATCTGTGAAAATCAATAGGATTCTTAGTCTCATGATCTTAAACACTGTGTATAAATTTCAAGTCAATCGGATATTAACTTTAGCTTCTAGAGTGTCCACAAGCAATTGTGGATGATGGACCGACAGATGGACAGAGGCATGACAATATACGACCACATTCCAATGTGGGTGTATAACAAAAATCTTTTTGTGATTTGATTCTCTGTCACGTTTGCAGAACATGAGCATTTAGAATTTGGCCAAACTGGATGCAAAAATAATTATTTTCCATTAATACTTACAAATTTTAAAAGATATGTATTTTCTCTTAGAGCTCCTATACATCCTGAGAATCCAAGTATAAAAATAACCACACCTAGTACTAGAAATACCACAGATAAATCAAACATAACATCATATATTGACTGTATTTCCTGATGATAAAATTTATTCTTCTCTACAAATGCCCAAATACCAATACCAACCATTCCCGCTCCTGCCATCTGAAATCATACATGATTCACAATCAATACACTTAATTAAACAAGAGAATAGTAACTGTTCTATGTTTTACCATATTCGAAGTAATGAATGTTTAAGAAAACTGAATCCAAGTCCAGAGTATGTCTACAGTACCGGTACCATTGATAAAAGTTAAAAATTTATCTGAATTACATTTGCGGTCAGAAAAAGCAGTGAAAAATTAGATATTCATGACCACAAAATGCAAATGATAACCAGCAGCTGTAAGGTACCTGACTTAGCGAGTGGTTGTTATTTCTTGATCGAATGGTTAAGCGGTTTTGGGAACATTGAGGGGTGTAAATGTAGGCTACATGTATAACTGACTCTGCAATTAAATGTCGGAAAAAGAAGTTGGCAGAAAATAATCCAAGAATTTACTTAGGCCTCAACATGTATGGTAAATGGACAGTGAGTAATGACAAATTATATTCTGAAAAAAAGGGGTATCTCCTCGCGAATATTAAGTTTTTTTGAGAGGGATTTGAAGCAAATTTTTGATAGATTAATTAGTTTGAATATGTTTTTAGTCCAAATATATCATCAAATCACAGTTTGTATGCGGGGAGGTATCTTTTTTTAAAATAACTTTCTAGGTGCAGTTCACAGTTTTGTCAGTCCAAAATCGTAGCCAATGAAAATAATTAGATGAACTTGAAACTGAATGACAAAAACTAGACTCAATTACAATAGACACTTGAAATTCTTGTGTTAATTCGATTAACATCTTTCGATGAATTAAGAACTTCAGTGGGGTACATCCTTTATGTGACAGTATAATAATATCTGTCATTGAACCTGCCATCCGCTCCACCCCCTGGAATCCATAGCCATAAACTACCTATCAGTAAGCCAATGAGAATTAATTCCCCACTAGTCACTACCAAGTCAGTAGGAATGTCCAGACACCACAGGACAGAACAGGTGTTCCAAGATATACAAACAATTACACAACACACCATATATTTTGGCTACATTCTTGCTACACTAACAAGGACTTTTCTTAAGTTAATGACATAAGTCTTAAGAGATGCAAATAGTTGTTATGTACACTATCCTTATTGACGTTATGTACACGCACACGGGTCACTGAGGATAGAAAACGAAAAGGATTTCATTTACTTTAGGCCTACTTACCCAAAATATGAAATTGAAGAAAAACACAAGCCATTTCACCACAGGACTAACATAAGTACTTTCCGAACTAAGGCAACTCATGTTTAGTTCAAAAACCGAACTTCAAATACCGGTAATATTATTTAACCCGGACAAGGTGCTCTACATAAACAATCATACTTTTCAGTGAGTTGTGTTTCTTTATTTGAGAGGTTGCCGCACAGCTTTGCGAGACAGTCAATACAGATTCTTGTCACCGGCGACATAGACACGAAACGAAATAGCAAAAATAAATAATTTCTGAATATCTATTTAAAACTAATAAGTAGTAAGAGAGCCACGATGACTCAGTGAGTAGGACGTTGGCTAGAGTAGCTAACCTAGAGGTCCCGTGTTCGAGGACTGCGTTGGTCGAGACAGTTCATCAGGATTTCTTTTACACCTTATTCAATTGTCCATCCTCTTTCAATTTGTCAAAACTGCAACTTGAGAATTAATGGAATTATAAAATGGATGCCAAAGAATTTTCTAAAATTGAATGATGATAAAATCGAATATTTGTAATTACTAAATTAGGCCCAAGGCGGCGCGTCGAATTACCCAATAACACCCAATAACTGCCCAATAACACCCAATAACGGCCCAGTAACACCCAATAACTCCAAAATAACAACCAATAACTATAAAATGTTGACTTTGGAATCATAAAATAACAATTTAGTTGAATTTAAGAAGCATTGCTGCTTTGTGTCCAAATCGGAGTTTCACGCTCACTCGCCAGAAGGGAGATAACTCGTGTATGTGATTTTGTTAGAATATACAATATTAATTGACAATTCAAATGGTTTTTATGCACAGCGGGAATGTTTAGGTATTCGGATTATTATTCATTTTGTTAAATCTGGATGTAAGCCTTCAGATAGGTTTCTTCATTATATTGATAAAGAGTTCACTTCTATATTTCGTAATTGGGAAAATTTGATTATTAAAGATGATATTTTGTAAAGGAAATACTTACCTACCTTCACCTTCATCTGATACTATATTTCAAATTGTTTTACCTGTTTCTCTTCGTCAACTTGTTTTATCATTACTTCATGACAACATGTGTCATATGGGAAGAGATCGGATTTTAGACTTCGTGAAATCTCGTTTCTTTTGACCCTCCATGTCGAAATATGTGAAAGAATATGTCAGATCTTGCGACAGATGTATTCGCCGAAAGTCTCCTCAGCAGAATATTAGTCAGTATTCAAACTTCAGAAACATTAAAGCTCGTTTGTACAGATTTTTTTTAGTTTAGAGCAGGGGCGTGCTGGCCCCGAAGGTTCCCGGGAGGATGGGCCCCTAATGGGCCCGTCAGGGGCGCGCCGCTGGTAGGGAGGCCTGGGGGGGCGGTTCTCCCCCAGAAAATTTTTGAAATTTGACAACGGGAAACGCGTTTTGCAAGCACTTCTGGGAGAAATCTAGGTATCATATTTTCCAAATTTATGCTGCTATTTTGACTATAAGACATACTACTGTACTACACAAGACACTCATGACAGGTCTGCTTAATATAATGCTAATACAATGTATTTCTATCCAAATAATAAATTGCATCTTATACATATCGAGGCATGAATACATGTATCAAAGACCATTTCACCTTAAGGTGACAGACACTTGCACGTCAGCATAATATATTTTACTAATCGTTGTGTATGTATGATTTTTCGCGTGCGCACTCTCAATTTTTTGAGGGGATTCCGCGTGAAAATAAAAGCTCTCAGGGGGGCCCGCTTATACGGGTGGACTTATTGTTTAATGGGGGGCCTGGGAGGACACCGTCCTCCTAAACTCCCTGCCAGCACGCCCCTGGTTTAGAGCCTTCAAAGTATTGAAAACATTTTAATCATAACTGACCACTTCACAAAATTTGCTGCTGCTGTGCCAACTAAAAACTAGACTGCTAAAACCACCAATAGAGCACTAATTCATAATTTCTTTCTGTCATATCGAATTCTTGGAAATCTTTATTCGGACCAAGGCTGAAATTTTGAAAGTGATATTATTAACGAAGTGTGTACTATTCTTTGAATAATAAAATCTAGAACTACTCCATATAACCCAATGAGAAACGGTTTATGTGAACACTTTAACAGAACACTTTTGAATATGCTCGGAACCATTTCAGAACAACAGAAACAGAGATGGAAAGATCACGTGCCTTAAAATTTAGTTTTTCTATATAATTCTACTAGACACGAATCGACTCCTTTTTCACCTTTTTATTTGATGCTTGGTAGAAATCCTAGATAACCTGTCGATATAATATTTGGAGATAACTTCTGCTACGGATGTACGTAGTTCTTACACACAGCTTGCTTCTGAACTTCAAAATAAATTTAAAGCCGTGAACAGTATTGCTGCAGAAAATATTCAGAAAGCACAACAGAAGCAGAAACTTTGTTATGATGTGAAAACCGGAGGCGCTAATCTCCATGTTGGCGATGTTGGTTTAGTTCGTAATGTACAAATCAGAGATAAAAATTAACTTGCAGATAAATGGGAGGAGGATTGCTATGCAGTTATATTACAACCAGATCTTAAAATTCTAGTTTTTATAGTTCAAAAGGCTGACACTTCATTAAGACACACTCTACACAGAAATCTTCTTCTTTCCATAAGTTCTTCTGGTCGACCTATTCCAACTCCACGTTCAAAAGTTGTGCTTAATGTTTCCACACACTATTTCTAATGCAAATAATGTATCTGTCATACAGAGATTAATTATGCAGCTCAGCCTTCGGAGAACCATGATGTTACTGTTGTTGATGATAATGACAATAATTCAAATGTTAGTATTTCATCCGATTCTTCTGTTTGTGTTACTGACGTGTTACCTGATATTTTTGTTCTGGATATCACTATTCCGGGTATTACTGCTACTGATATTCCTGATATTACTGTTACTGATGATTCAATTTCTCAATCCGATCCTAATATTTCTTCGGGTAATATTTCACAACCAGTCCCAGCTAGATGTCAACGTAAAGCACCTGTTTGGATGCAATCTGATGTTTGGATTTTAGAGAATACTGTTTTGATTTGATTATCATAGGTTGTATCTACTTTGTAACGATTTTCCATTTCTGCATTATTTGTTAGGTTATAAATTTCATTATTTGTTAAATTGTTTCAATGGCATTTAGTAATTGAACTGGAGTATACAGGTCACAATTCTATGGAATATAATTACTGCTTATTACTGAGCGACGTTTCGACTAGGCTCCTCTAGTCATTATCAAGCAATTTTAGTGTATATTCGTATTTATTGTATATATGGTATTCCCCTTTAAAATGTGTGGGACTGTCTCTTTAATGTTATATCTGTAAGCTGGTCAGAAATCTGTTTTCAATAGCAAGTCTAACCTATACTCACTTTTAACTCACTAAACTAATCACAACTCAGCTTCTCTGTCAAACCTCACATGCAAGCTAACCTTTTCACAAAGAAAAGCATGTCAAATTACTTGGTAAGTTTTATATTTATTTGACTTGATTTCTATATCTATCTATTTAATATGGTAGTATAATTAGGATATATATTTTATATGTGAAATAATGAAGTTATCAGTATATTTCTATAAGTATTTCTATAAGTATATTTGTGCATTTTGAGAGTATTATACTTAGTTTAATCCATTCATATTATTAATTTCAGTCTTGTGTTGCTGTGTTTATGTGGTATCCATATTAAAATAATACGTATTATTATAAACTCCTATTTTATATGGTATGTATGTATTTGTATTTATGATTAAAGAGTTCTTGGGCTTGTGCATTCACCATTTCAAAGTATGTGTTGCTTTGAACGCTTCGGTGTAGAAAAATGGGTGGTAATATATATAATTCCAAAAGTGTAACCGTAAGAAATGAAATAGAATGAAATGAAATGTTGTTTAACGTCCTACTGTTCTGCTCTGACTGGGCTAATGAAGACAGGTATACGCCATGTAGTATGCTATTAGTGTAGTTTTGCCGGAAATGAAATGAAATGAAATGGGGTTTAACCTCCTACTGTTCTGCACCTATACTGGGCTAATGAAGACGGGCATACGCCATACAGTGTGCTATGAGGGAAATTTTGCACGGGCAGCGGCACTATCGCCTACTCTTATATCGAATTCCAACTGCCAGGGGATCTTTTATGTGCATTCCAATATATACACGGGACCTCGGTTTTTCGTCTCATCCGAAGGACTAGACAGCTGTCCTTATCAGGCCCTCCGTCCTGCATCACAGACAAGGGGGAACCACGCCAGAAAAGGCATACTCTTCTATCGAATTCCAGCAGTTAATGGTTCTTTTACGTTAATGTGGACGTATATTGTCGTCGCCCCTGTCCGTCCATCCACAATTGTTTGTGGACACTCTACAGGTCACAATTTTTATCCGATTTCAACGAAACTTGAAATATAGGTTTATCTTCATAGGATCTTGGCATGTATCGGACCGTAACCTCATGGATTATGGCCCCAGATTGTATGAAAAATCGCGTTTTTACCTTGTGGACCCTATAGAGGTAAGTTTATAACCCAAAGATCTTCGTTCTTGTCGATATTCGCGCATATCGGATCGTAACTTCCTGATTTATGGCCCTTGATTGTACCAAAAATAGCGTTTTTAACTTGTGAACCCTATAGACGTCATAATTTTTATCCGATTTAAAAAAACGTTTTAGTATATCACCGTTATACCCTCAGGAAGGTTGAGTTCGAATTTTGTTTTAAATCGGACCAAAACTGCCAGACAAAATGGCCACCCCTCATCTCAAATCGCGTAAAAATATGGTATATCAACGTTATGGACCCTCTGGAGGTCACAGTTTTGTTCTAATTTTGATGAAACTTAAAATGTAAGTTTATAACCCAAAGATCTCGGATCCTTTGATATTCGCGCATATCGCACCGTAACTTCCTGAATTATGGCCCCTGATTGTACGAAAAATTGCGTTTTTAGCTTGTGGACACTATAGCGGTCATAATTTGTATCCGATTTAAAAAAAACATTTGAATGTATCACCATTACACCCTAAGGATGGTTAAGTTCGAATTTCGTAAAAATCGGCCCAAACTGTCAGACAAAATGGCCGCCCCTTGTTCTCAAATAGCGTGAAAATATATGGTATATCAAGGTTGTGGACCCTATAGAGGTCACACTTTTGTTCTGATTTTGATGAAACTTGAAATGTAAGTTTATAACTCAAAAATCGCGGTTCCTTTCGATATTCGCACATATCGGACCATAACTTCCTGAATTATGGCCCCTGATTCTTCGAAAAATCACGCTTTTAGCTTGTGGATCCTATAGCGGTCATAATTTATATCCGATTTAAAAAACGTTTGAATATATCACCGTTACACCCTAAGGATGGTTGAGGTTGAATTTCGTGAAAATCAAACCAAAACTGACAAACAAAATGGCCGCCCCTCGTACTCAAATAGTGTAAAAAAATATGGTATATCAATGTTGTGGACCCTTTAGACGTCACAATTTTCTTCTGATTTTCATGAAACTTGAAATGTAAGTTTATAACCCAAAGATCTTGGTTTTCTGTCAATATTCGGGCATATCGGATCGTAACTTCCTGAATTATGGCCCCAGATTGTACGAGAAATCATGTTTTAGCTTGTGGATCCTATAGCGGTCATAATTTTAATCCGATTTAAAAAAACGTTTGAATATATCACCGTTACACCCTAAGTAAGGTTGAGGTCGAATTTCGTGAAAATCGATCTAAAACTGACAAACAAAATGGCCGCCCCTCTTATTCAAATAGCGTAAAAATATGGTATATCAATGTTGTAGACCTATTAGAGGTCACAATATTATTTTGATTTTCATGAAACTTGAAAAGTACGTTTATAACCCAAAGATCTTGGTTCCCTTCAATAACAGATAGTAACTTCCTGAATTATGGCCCCTGATTGTACAAAAAATCACGTTTTTAGCTTAAGGTCCCTCTAGATGTCACAATTATTATCCGATTTAAAAAAACGTTCAAATATATCACTGTTACACCGTAATTTTGGTTGAGTTCGAATTTCGTGAAAATCGGACCAAAACTGCCGGACAAAATGGCCACCCCCCATCCACAATTAGTGTAAACATCTAGTATATCAAAGTTGTGGACCCTCGAGAGGTCACAATTTTGATGAACCTTGAAATGCATGTTTATAACTCAAAGATCTTGGTTCCTTTCGATATTCGGGCATATCGAATCGTAACTTCCTGAATTATGGCCCTTGATTGTACCAAAAATAGCGTTTTTAACTTGTGAACCCTATAGACGTCATAATTTTTATCCGATTTAAAAAAACGTTTTAGTATATCACCGTTATACCCTCAGGAAGGTATGAGAAAAAATGTTCGGATATATCACTGTTACTCTGTAATGTTTATTGAGTTCGAATTTTGTGAAAATTGGGCCAAAATTGCCGGACAAAATGGCCGCCCCTCGTACGCAAATAGTGTATAGCATCTGGTATATCAAGCTTGTGGTCCTTCTACATGTAGAGGTCACAATTTTGATCGGATTTTGATGAGTTGAAATACATATTTATAACCCAAAGATCTTGGTTCCTTTCGATATTCGCGCGTATCGGATCGTAACTTCCTGAATTATGGCCCTTGAATGTACAAAAAATCACGTTTTTAGCTTGCTGTTCATGTGGAGGTCACAATTTTTAACCGATTTAAAAAAACATGTGAATATATCACCATTACACACTAAGATCTTGGTTCCTTTTAATAATCGCATATATCCGAATTAGCTTGCGGATTCTCTAGAGGTCACAATTTTTTTCCGATTTTAAAAACCGTTTAAATATTTCACCATTCCACCATAAGGAAGGTTGAATTCGAATTTTGGGAAAATCGAAATGAAACTGCCTGACAAAATAGCCGCTCTTTGTACGCAAATTGTGTAAAAGTATGCAATACGAAGGTTGTGGACCCTCTAGAGGTCATAATTTTTATCCGATTCTGATGAAACTTAAAACATATCTTTATATCCCAAAGAATTCGGTCCCTTTTGATATTTGCGCATTTCAGACCATAACTTTCTGGATTATTGCCCCTGATTGTACAAAAAACCCGTTTGTTTTTAGCTTGTTCTCTATCCATCTCTTGCAAAATGTGGGCGTGTCCCGTCTGGCAGCTGCTGGTATTTTAGTACGATAGGCATTATCCAATAAGGAGTGTGGCACTTTGGCATTTTCAAAGTATTATTGAAAGGGTCTGTGAGACTGACTCGTTTGAGTCAGAAATATCACCCGCGGGCACAGTACACATTTCCGTTGTGGGCACATTGAGTGTAAGCAAATACGCTTCTAACCTGAAAACTGTTGACAAATTGAACTAACGGTTACAATATCAATGGAGATCTCAAGGGTTTCATACGTTGCAGCAATGTTTGCACATGGTCAGACAGTCGTTGAGAGATGAATTAAATGAGTTTATTGCGTATTATTATCTTCGAAATGTATCGGTAGGTTGGCCTTGAACTTGCATCCTGCTTTCGTGACCTTGGCATTTGACTTTGTCGCAGGCTTCGATTTTAAGCATTTTAGATAAAATCGACTAAAGTAATATTTAAGTTAAAATTTTATCTCAACTTAAAATAGTGGCGTTTCACAAAACTATTTTAGGGACTATTTTAAAGGAGCTAAATCGTTAACATTTGGGACCTAGAAATTGACAAAAGTGGGCCACAACGCATATAATACTGTAATATGAATGTATATAAACTGATTTACATTCAATGGTTTCCGTTTTTACTCCAATTTCAAATCAGTTATGTTCGGCGAAATAAGCCAGCAGTCTCAAGCGAGTGCAAATTTCTAGCGTCTGGTTATTCCAGTCTACATACGCCGTTTGATTTGGAGCAATGTGTCTAGCCTCGTTCCTCGAGTCTCTTGATACATCTGGGGCTGAAGCGCATTATGGTACACGATTCGTGTACCAATGGTAAAATGTTTATTTTGTCTTAAATATTGGATATCAAAAGCCCTTCTTTTTCCGGTAAGATCACAAAATGAATGTTGATTTAATTTGACAAATAATTCGTGTTTTTAATGTTGAAGATTTTGGATGATATTGAGTTAGAGACTTAGCTACTTTAACTAAAATCAATTTTAACTCAGGACAGCCCTCACCCTCTCCTAACTTAAAATCACGACATTAACAAACATTGATTAGGGCGACGTTTTTAGATCTATTGCGATATACATATATATTTGGAATAATGATAATATTGCCAATGACCCGGGTCACATATTTTTCCCATAGCCTACCATCATTCACAAAAATAGTTCTCATTCAATTTCTTTTCATAGCATGGGAAATACAGCTACGTTCCACCCGTTAATTTTATTGTAAGGCAATTGGAGTAATTAGATGACGCCCAAAAATGGAACCCCGAGGAAAAACACCACTCAAACCCCCAGTAAACAAAACCCTTTGTTACTGTTTATATATTACCATACGATTCAAGTATGAATTATACTATTTTCAAATAGGCCCTAATTAATAGACAACAACAAAAAACAAAAAAAAAACCCACAAAAAACACTAAGAGAAAGTCTAAACTCACTTCATATCTAATATCATGGAAAGAAAAGTACTCTTATCTATTAAAATATCTTCGTTTTAAAATGGCCAATTTCTTATTATTAGAAGGCATAAACTTTAAGGTCTATAGACATGCCATATGTAAAGTATTTACTCATGGAGTCATGCATGGTGATTTGTTAACGGGAATGTGCACTGCGCGGGCTCAAGTAATTTTAACTAAAATCTATTAAAATTGCATTTTAAGTTACAATCTATCTTCGTGAAACGTATAAAAAAAAAAATTTCATTTTGATTTTAGTTAAAATTGTTTTTGTGAAACAGTGCCCAGGATTCCTTTCGATATTCGTGCATATCGGACCGTAACTTCCTGGATTATGGCCCCTGATTGTACAATCACATTTGTTTTAGCTTGTTTTCTGTCCATCTCTTGCAAAATGTTGGTGTATCTTGCAAATCAACCACTGGTAGCAGATTGTTTTCAAATATGCTTGGAACCCTATCGATATTCAGCGTTCTGTGACTTTTCCGAAAAACTTGTGGTCTGATTCATTTATTTCCTGTGTATTATTTATACTTCAACATTCATAATGTGGAAGTATGTGTCTCTGTGTCGTTTACAGGCCGCAATTTTTAACTGATCGTCTTGAAACTTTGCATATTTATTCCTGATATTTTAAGGATAATCCCTATGGTTTTGGTGCATGCCCGACCCCCAGGGACAGAGCCACGTCCATATTTTGTATTTGTTTGTTTGTCTTCAACATGCCGTACTTTTTAATTGATCAGAGGTTGGATGGCCGAATGGTTGGCATGTGCGCGCTGTATTATAAGGTCTGTCATTGAGTCTAAAGAAAAAGACAGTTAATATTCTGAGTCAAAATTCTGACCAACGTACAAAATTTGGATGATCCAACTAAATATATTATGAAAGGTAATTTAATTTTGATATGGGATATTAAGTCTTTCCCTTTAGAATATTGAAACATTGACAGTGTTCGGGTTGAGAGTGTGCCCCTTTAATATGATTGTGCTGACATTTGATTTACAAATAATATTTGGAAAGCTTATTTAATTACCTTTCAGAATATATTTAGTTGGATCATCAAAAGTTTGTACGATGGTCAATATAGCGACTCGAGTTATAAACAGTCTCTCCCTTTAAAATATTCTTAAAACTTGGCTATGTTCAGGTTGAGAGCGCGCCCCTTTAATATGATTGTGTCAACTTTTACTAATAATTTTGGGAAAGCTTGTTTAATTACCTTTGAGAATATATGTAGTTAGATGCTCAGAATTTTGTACGATGATCCGACTTTTGGCACGGATGTTTCCCTTTAGAATTGTGAAACATTGAAAGCGTTCGGGTTGAGAGCGCACCCCTTTAATATAACTGTGCCAACTTTTACTAATAATATTTGGAAAGCTAATTTAATTATCTTTCAGAATATATTGAGTTGGATCATTAGAATTTTGTACGATTGACCGAATTTCGACTCGGGTTATTAACGGTCTTTCCTATTAAAATATTCTTAAAAATTGGCTATGTTTAGGATGAGAGCGCACCTCTTTAATATGATTGTGCCTACTTTTACTAATAATATTTGTAAAGCTTACTTAATTATCCTTCAGAATATATGTAGTTGGATGCTCAAAATTGTGTACGATGGTCCGAGTTTTGACTGGGAATATTACCAGTCTTTCACTTTAAAATATTGAAAAATTGGCGACACTTAGCATGAGAGTGCACCCCTTTAATATGATGACTTGTGGTTGGCCACCCAGTTATCTCTGATGACAGGTAGTTGGCAGTCCACATTAGGCTATGGACTCCTGATACAGAACAGAAGAAGATCCATTAAAAGTCACACATTAGGCGATGATATATAGGCAGTCGGATTCATTTCTCTAGAACTTAACATATCCTCACTAAAAGTCCATGAAATCACTTGTCTATGTAAAGGTGTGCCCAAGACCTGTTAGCAGATGTTTCTTTACTTTAACATGTTGATTCAAATATTAATTGAGTTCTTGTGCAATTTGGATTTAACTATTGTTATACTTCTGTACATCGCCAACGGTCATTAATTTATTTTTATACGCTCACATTTTCATGTGTATGTGTATAGTCGTGCGAAGGTAAATTCACATTTGTTTGTTGATCATGGCGTCTGGTTGTATAAAAAATATCGTTTTTAGTTTGTTGGCTCTCTAGAGGTCAAATTTTGTGTTCGATTTTCATGAAACTTAAAATGTATGTTTATAACCCAAATTAATTTTTGTTTGTCATCCACATGTACTAATTGCTTTCAGGAACCAGGTTGGCGGATGCCGAATGGTGGACACAGATGGAAGAGGATGCAGGCAAGGCAAGCAGAATGGTGGACACAGATGGAAAAGGATGCAGGCAAGGCAAGCAGAATGGTGGACACAGATGGAAAAGGATGCAGGCAAGGCAAGGCAGTATGTTGGCGATCTGTTTAAACGATTTGGAATAAAAAAATTTTTTGATTGATTTTTTTTAGGGTAATGGCAGGCTGCAGACCGAGTTGCTCTCAATACTTGGGGATAAGACTAGCTAAACTGTCCAGTTCAGTTCCATTTAGTTCAGTAGGGGTTAAGTTAATTTGTTTTTTTTTTTGTTTGTCATTGCACATGTACTAATTGCTTTTGGCCACCTAAGTTTGTTTTCCAGGAACCAGGTTGGTGGATGCAGAATGGTGGACACAGATGGAAGAGAATGCAGGCAAGGCAGTATGGTATGGACACTCAATTCAAGGGATATCATCTGAACAATCCATTTCTATTGTATTTAGTTCTAGTTCCTTGGAGGTTCAGTAAATTTGGCTTACGTGGAAGAGAAAGCGCAACAAATAGATTATGGTTTGTACAACTTATAATTAAACATACATTATGTAAGAGTTAAATCTGCCTATTTCAGGTCTTTCTTTAGGCCTGAAATGTGATCTGAACTATTAATTACACATTTATTAGCAAAATAAGATCATAATCAACTCTTGATGGCTTCGGATACTCGAGATTTTAACTAGATTAAAACAGTTCGCCATTTAAAAATTTAATTTAAAAATGGGAAAGGGAGGCATATCTCGAATATACCAGTGCCCTGTTTACCACTATGCACACATCTTGTCAAAACTACAAACAATGATATCTTGGCTGAGAATGAAATAATTTTAATGAAATTTTCAATATTTTCTTTTTTATCATCTATTTTTGAATTATTACAGCAAGAATGACCAACTCTCTATTAAACTCTTAACTAATGTATCTTTAATTGAATCAAATTAAATTCTATGTGTAAAAATCTTTTCTTTGTATATGGATATTTATACAATAAGATCATTGCATCCTTCAGCTGTTCAAATACTACCGGGTTTTTTTTTGTATTTTTTTTTATAAACAATATTTTTATTCAGGATGTCTGAATGGGATTGGGGAACAGGCTTAGCCTATGTAAAGGAACGGTACATTTTGATTTGGTCTAAATAAAAAATGAATTGTATTAACCAGATGTGTTATTATGATTAGTAACAGTGCATATTACTATTACATTTTTGTATGCCCACATTTTCCTGAAGACGCTCGATATTGGCATGTATTGGACCGTAACTTCATAGTTTATGACCCCTGATAGTACGAAAAATTACGTTTTTACCTTTTGAACCCTCTAGAGGTCAATTTTTATCGTAATGATGGTAGAGTTCGAATTTCGTGAAACTTAAATCAAAACTGCGTAACAAATGACCATTCCTTGTATGCAAACAGTTTAAAAGTAGGTAATACCAAGGTTGTGGACCCTCTAGAGGTCACAATTTTTGGCCAATTTTGATGAAATGAAATGGGGTTTAACGTCCTACTGTTTTGCTCCGAACTGGGCTAATGCAGACGCGCATACGCCATACAATGTGCTATGAATTCCAACTGTCAAGGGATCTTTTACGTGCACGCCAATGTGTACACGGGACCTCGGTTTTTCGTTTCATCCGAATGACTAGACAGCTGTCCTTGTCAGGCCCTCTGTCCTGCATCACTGACAAGGGGAAAACCACGCCAGAAAATCTGGATGAACTTTCTCGGCCAATGAAGGGATCGAACACCCGACCTCCAGGCTAGCGAGCCAGCGCCTTACCCACTTAGCCATCGTGATCTCCCAATGTTGATGAAACTTAAATTATGTTTATATCCAATGATCTCGATATTCGCGCATCAGATCATAACTGCCTGATTGTACAAAAAATCACTTTTTTTTCCCTAAATTGTTCTCTGTCTGTGTCTTGCAAGATGTAGGCGTATCTTGCATGGCAACTGCGTGTTATTCCCACAAATTAGACTGAAATTTCGAAAAGCAAATCACCTTGTCCCACCATGTTCCTTTAAATCTGGGGTTTGTACATAACAATGCGTTTTCTTGCTTCAAATAACGTGTATCATATGTTATTCTCGAAACAATAAAAAATAAATCTTGTTAGTCTCCAAATAGAAATTTTTTCGAATGAACCGTATACCACTTTTATTTCTTAAATCTAAATGTGAAATCTATATAAGAAACTGAACTTATCGTACTTGAGCAAATGGATAAAATTTCTAGTTGCCAAACAATATGTTTATGTATGAACTATATATTTTTTTTCTAAATTCTTCATTGGTTCGTCTAATAGGTACAGTAAAGGACATTCTGTAGACAAGTTCAAAACACATTTTAAAATAGTGGTCCTTGGAAACATTGACTTTTAGTGGGAATTTGGTGTAAAGCTACTTGAGAAATCGAGTCTACTTTTTATGTCTAGCCTAGATAGATTAACATGTCATAACTTCAGTATAAACCCATATAAACAGATGTTTACAACACGAACATTAATTTCCGAACATTAATTTCCGTAGTCCACATATATAACATTGTATTCTTCTGGCTACAGATTTCAGCAGTTCTGGGTTCTGTTATGTTCTGGAGATTAGAATTCTTGTAGGTCGAGAGAGGTTTTTTGTGTTATTGTTTGGAGATCAGAAATCTTGTAGATTTCACATGGGTGAAAGGCTGAGACAGCTAGTTCTCATACATAAACAGTTTCTTCTTTAATCCACATACACAACATAAACACAGATTCCAGATTTCTTGTATTCTGCTGGCTTCTAGCTAGACAGTTTCTATGTTATTATCTGGAGATTAGAATTGGTTGTAGGCTGCTGACTTAACCATTACTTCTTAGAACAAGAATACAAACACATCCATACCTATTTGGAACTTCTGTTCTTTGGGAACTGTGATCAACAATTACAGAGGTGAACTCAAGGTTTATGACATTGTTAATCTAACAGGATTGTGGTTGATTTACATCTGAGATATACTAGAGACTTCTGTCTCGCTTCTATTGGCTTTTCTGGTGTGCACACCTCATTCATTGGTCCTCCACGAGGCCAGTTATCTTTGATGACTTGTGGTTGGCCACCCAGGTATCTCTGATGACTGGTAGTTGGCAATCCATGTTAGGCTATGGGCTTATGATACAGAACAGAAGATCCACACATTAGGCGATAATATATAAGCAGTCTGCTTCATTTCTCTAGACCATAACATTTGGGGTTGTTTCATCTTGTAGTTTAAACCGATGTCTTCACTAAAAGTCTATCAAATCACTTTATGTCAATAAATGTGTGTCCTAGATCTGTTAGCACACGTTTCTTTACTGTAACATTTTGATTCAGATATTGATGGGGTTCTTTTGCAATTTGGATTTAACTACTGTTATATCTCTGTATATCGCCAACGGTCATCAATTCATTTTTTATAATCTTGTTATTGCCAAAATAGTATTTTTCTAATGAAGTTGTCTACAGATGTATACTGTTAATTGGTTATTTATATTATATGCATGATTTTGTAAAGCGATATGCACTTATACACCTACAATTTCTTGAGCATGGTGTCGATCTGTAGCCTGGCAACCCTCAATTCGGGGGATTATTAAACCAGCTGAACAGTCTAGTTACGTTCAGTGGGGAGGAAGTTAATTTGGCTTTCAATTCATTGAAGATAATTTTGTTTGCCATTGCACATGTACTAATTGCTTTCGGCCACCTAAGTTTGTTTTTCAGGACCTAGGTTGGTGAATGTAGAATGGTGGACACACATGGAAGAGGATGCAGACAAGGCAAGGCAGAATGGTGGACACAGATGGAAGAGGATGCAGGCAAGGCAAGGCAGTTCAGTTCCATTTAGTTCAGTGGGGAATTAAGGTAATTTGACTTTAAATTCATTGAAGATTATTTTGTTTTTGTTTTTCATTGCACAGTAGAGTACAGTTTTTCTGTTTTATTTTGTCTTGAGGGCAGTGGCAGACTGCAGCCTGGTCGGCTCTCAATTTGGGAGATATTAGCTGAACAGTTCAGTTCAGTGGGGATTCAGTAAATTTGGCTTTTTTGGAAGATGTTTTTATCATTGCACATGAACTAATTGTCCTCTCCCCCTTAGATTGTTTTTCAGCAGGCCCATATTAAAGATACATTATGCGAGAGCTAAATCTGCCTATTGCAGGTCTTTCTTTAGGCCTGAAATGTTTTCTAAATTGTTAATTAGACATCAATTAACTTATCCAGGCAATAATCGACTCTCGATGGCATCGGATTTCTCTGATTTTAAATAGATTAGAACAGTTAAGCCATATTTTGATTTAAGCTAAAAATGGAGGAGCGAGACTTTGCTTCGAACAACCAGTACGGTGGTTGAAATTATTGCACATGTCTTGCCAAACCTTCAAAGGCTAATATCTTCGATTGCAATAAAGTAAATTAAATGAAATGTACAAATTATTCATTTTAGATTATCTATTTTCGAATTATTATTGCAAGAATGGCTAGTTCTTTATCGAAATCTTACATAATGTATCTTTAAACATTATTTAGTTTTTTTATACGACGATATATCATGCCCGTCAGTCCATCATGCTACAGGCTAAACTTTTAATTTTGCAATTTCTTTATCTTGGAACATTAACCTTTATGGAAATTTGAATTAAGTCAAAATTATTTCGAAATTTGACATACCAACATGATGTGATGATGGTGGATTAGGTGATTCATGCCGTCAGTCAGTCATGCTACAGACCAAAGTTTTTACTAAACTTGGAACATAAACCTTTATGGGAATTTGAATGGGGCAAAATTATTTCGAAATTTTCGACATACCAGCATAATGTGATGGTGGGTGGCTTAGATGAATCATGCCCAATGTTCCGTCGTCATGTTACAGGTCGAACTTCTAAATTTGTGAACATAAACCGTAATGGGAATTTGAATGGGGTCAAAATTATTTCGAAATTTTCGACATACCAACAGGA